GAAACATCCCTGAGTGGCATACAGTGCAACATCTGCGTCAAGCAGTGATTGTCATTTACAAAGCGTGAAACTTAAAAAGGAAAGAAGAGAACTGGGTCTTCAACACACTGTTCCTAATGGATGTCAGAGATAGGAGTTAGTTTCTAGAATGGAGACAGAAAGCGCTGGGACAGGTTGGTAAGCGTAAATACACTGTTTTGTTATTGCCAGGGAAAAGTAAGCTGTTCTGTCTCAGGCTTCCGTTTCATAGGCTCTTAGACATAACGTATTTGGCCAAAAAACTCTTTCATGTTTCAGTTTGATCTTATTGCCCAGTGTTATATTCCTGGGAAGTCCAACAGACAATGACTCTGAAAATAGGAGTTAGCTTCCAGGCTGGACCTTGGCTCTTCTGGAAAGAGCACAGTCAATGGTAGAGTCAGGAGGAAGGAGGATGGGGGGAGCCTGAAAGTCTTTCAAACGTACTTTGTAGAACACCTTTAGAGTGGGTGAAAAAGACAACAGGGAAAGGAGTCATCAGCTGCACATCTCTAACTGTGCTGCCTCACTGATTTGTGAGGCTGCTGCAGCCTTGGAGCAGCCCCCCAGCCTGGTGGCGGGAGGCTGAGAGGCCAGCACACAAAGGCAGCTTTGCATCCTCTTTCTGTAGCAGTTCTTATGTCAGAAATCCCTACAAACTTATATATGTCAGAAATCCCAAAAAGAAATGTACACCTGTGCAAGCTGCCGCCATGAATATGAACACAGAAAATCACCTAATAATGCTTATCTTCATGGACAAGTCTGGTAGCTGCTCCACTTGGAGCACCATAACCTGACTCAGGCTTTGAGACAGCACCAGCGCCCAAGGTGCACCAGGATGAATAAACTGATCCCTGTAAAACGGAGCTGAAACGAACAACGGCAAGCGTGAAGTAAAAGCATTAAAATGCAAGTATGAGAATAACGTCTGACTTGTGCTCTGCAGAGCTCTTAGGGGACCTCTTAACACTAAAGGCCGCTGACTTTAGGAGGAGTTGAGCACCTTCTGTGTGGTGCTGAGGTGCCTCCATTTTTAGTGGCTCTGGTTAGAGCTAAGGGAGCCTGAACAACTTGCAGAATCAATTCCTAAATGCTGCCTGTCACAAACCAATCAGAAAGATATACATTGCTGTTGGAAATAAGTTGGCTCAACTGAATGCCTTCTATTACCCTGCTTTTTTTTCTAGCAATCGCTAAAGCAATCTTTTCCATTAGAAGGAAATATGACTCTTGGAATTAATTCCTTATACAAAGAGCTGGCAAGAGTGACATTTACAGCAAAATTAAGTCTCTGTGGTAGTGTAACAAACAGTCTACATCTGCTTCCTTGATGTCAAAAATAATTTAGATCAATGTGGTTGAATTAATCTGAGAGCAATGCTAGAAGGAGAAGATTCAATACATGCTTTAAACATGCTTTTGTTAAAGAGCCCAGGTTAATCAATCATTAAAAATGTGTCCCATTTGAAAAGCTTGTCACTAAAAAAATCAACAAACATAACCAATTACTACAGAGAGCAGATGTGACAAATACTAGTTTTAGAGATTTAATTGAAGGGCTTCAAATACTACTGTGAACTAATGAAAGCCAAGAAGAAATAATGTGTACCACTAATATTTTCTGAAATGCATTTTGTGAGTGGATTATGCAGTTATTTACTCAAATTCATGCTATTTTATTATTTAAAGCCTATGGATAACTTGAACATATGAAATCCAATATCAACAATTTGAAAGTGTGAGCATAAATGACTATGTATCAAAACCAACAACATGCATCCAGCCTGTAACGTGTGATTGTTATTTGTTGTTCTAAACTCAGCCAAGGAAGGGCAATTTACCTATGTGGCCAATCCCAAATCACAGAAAATGAAATAAAATTTTTCAACCTTAGTTACCATGAATAAATATTGTATGAGAATGAATTTTTATTTTCGAAATAAACAGCAACATAATTTGCTCAAATTCTGTAGAAAGTAGCAACAAAAATAGAGCAAGCTGTTAATAATCAACCTTATTTGAAGATAAAAATTTGTTTGACAATATTTGTAGTTTTTTATACAGGCTATTGCCTATCAGTGGCAATGAAGATTTTGTATACCAGCATCTTAATATTTTTAGGACAAAAGGCAAGAATCCTTTTTTATTCCAGGACTGGATACCTCTCCCTCTGTGATCTCTGGCAAGTCATTTAACTCCTTTTCCTTCATTTTCTCATCTTTAAAAAGTGCTAGTAATCCTTACTGATTGAAAAGGTCATGAGGTTGCAGTGATTTAAGAACAGTGCTTTTTAGGATTCAAAGCCCTGCAAATAATGATTAAATAATGTCTTTTTCACTGGTGATGTCCATTTGGTTATCTTACCTAAGACATAAGTCAGAAATCCCAAGGACTGATTAGCTTATTTGAAAAGAACAAAACATTTTCAAGATGTGACACACAATTGTGAAGCACTACTTATAAACATGGCAAACCTGTTCATTTATCAGAACAATAATATTTATCACATATTCTATATTTCTGTGTGTTGGCTAAATATGTTGCTTTTGATATACTGAAGACAAATTTATAAAGCATTTCAAACAAATATATATGTGTGTGTGTTCTTGTGTTGGAAAAGGCAAGGAGGACATGAAACCCCTGCAGTTAAAACTGAGCATTTCTAGGGATCAGTTGACTTGACTTTTTTCCCAAACAAATTCTCACAAGCAGTAGATAAATATAGTTAATTAAGTTTTTTGATATTAGAAAGAGCTGGAGTTTGGGGTCCTTTTCATGGTTTTACCATGTAAAAGGGGCTTCAGATCACCTTATAAGGGAGTGCTGGTCTTAGGGTTTAAGTGGTATAAAGAAGCATCAAGAGCAATGCTTTATTATGTTAATTGAAAACACTTTAATGTAATCAGTAGAGAACAGAAAATGTGCTCTAAATTTGGAGCAAAAAAGGTATTTTAGAAATTGCTCTTCCGTAAGACTATGTAATTTTGAAGCCTATGTCAGGTTTGCAACAGAATTCTACAGAGCATAACTAACTTTGCTATGCAGATTTTTTTATTTTTTCTTTTTGAAGTTGTAACGGACCTACAGAGAAACATTTATTAGCTAAGCATTTGTAACTGCTCTTGTATTTGCTCTAGTACTGCTAAAACAGAGCAAACAAATGTTGATGTTGTCTAGATTGGATTCTGTCATGAAACATGTCTGTAAACTTGCAAACTGGCTGATGGAAGGCATGGGAAAACTCCACAAAGTACTTGGAACAGCCTGTGAATTATCTAGTCATGCAGAAAAGGGAACTGAAGATTGAGACCAAAGCTGTGCTAGTCTGCTGGAAAAGCTGGAGGCATCAAGTTATCACTGCAAGAAACCAAGTTCCTGCACCCTGGGGCTCAGCTGTGTCTCTGCGGGCTCCCTGTGACACCGCTCTGCCATGCGGCCTGGCAGATGGCAGGTCCTTTGGCCTCCCGGCCAGCATGCTCCTGCTTGGCTTGCCTCAGCTTGCACTGACTTCTGTGTGATTTGAAATAAAGAAATGTATCTGCTTGTGGTCCTGCCTTCACTCCATTTCTTCTCTACTGCCTGCTTCCTCTTATTTCTGCTCTACTCCCTCCACTGGTGTCCCCAGAGGAGACTTCCCTGAAAAAGCTCGCATGGGGTAAATGTGATGGTAAGGACAGACCCGTAGCAGAAACTGAAACCCTCTTCCATAGCTAAAAAGTCTACGTGTTGTATCTCTGGCTGAATCCAAATACATTAATCATGACTGCTAATTAAACTTAATTAATCCAGAAGATTAAGTCCATGGCAATCTTCCGCTCCCCTCTGTGTTTGCCTTTGGTTTTGCAAGCAAATGAACATAGAGTCAGTTTGGAGAAAGACAAAAAGAAAGCCCCAATCCTTTGCTCCCCTCCTGAAGTGCGTCTAAAATCAACCCTATATATGTATAGATATACAGTTATATGCATACAGATATATACATACATATATGCATGTGTATGTAACATACACACATGTATGTTTGTAAAGGAAACCGTCAGTCCCATCTAGACGATGGCTGTGTCAGAAACAGCGATAGTTACATTCGCCTTTGTAACCATGGACATTGCTCGCTTTGACCTTCCTCCTCCTTCCCTCCCTTCCTCTCTCTGACGCTACTCTTCAGAGCTACATTTTAGGCTTTCTGTGGTTTTCACCAAGTTCACTACTACCTCTGTGTTTCCGTTGAGTTCAGCAAAATAAAAACCAAGCCTTGCGACTACTTTTCAAAGCAGTATATATAAAATAAAATCATGTGTGGAATCCGAAAAATGTACATGTGAAATCATCTACGTTTTCACTCTGTGTTTCAGACACTTTACTGACATCAGGTCCTACAGTGTTCATTTTTCCCCCTGTAACAGGGAGAAAGTAAAAAAAAAAAAACCAAAACCAAACACACTTTTCGTCCCTCCACTAAAATCATCCAGACAAGGCTTTTGCACCATTGATACATTCCTAATGTTTCATTTACAGACTGCACGCATGCACTACATTACACATATCTCAGAAGTGATCCTGTCATTACACATCGGCAGCCGATAATTTAACTCTGACTGGCAAAGCAAATCTTGATTGCCCAAAGTAAATCTAATACATTACTTGGAGAGTAACAAATGCATGACAGCCGGGCTTAGCATCCTTTAAAAGTAGGCATGGGATTTTTAAGCTACAGCATGTATGCATATAATACCTACATATATATATATATTTCTCTCTAAAAAAATTATATAGCACATATATATATATATGTGTATTCCATACATGCACCATAATTTCCAAGACAGCTACAAATTTCCACATGCATTAAACTATCTAAAAACATAGAAATAGGCAAGTCTAATAAGTGGAATTTTCTTAAATTATATTTGAACAATAAACAGCAAGAGTAATACTGCGAAGTACTGCTCTATTCTCATGTATATCTACAATAAAATTCTAGGAACAGTTGTCTCCCAAAACATTCCCCAATAAAATAAAATAAAAAAAAAAAAGTAACACCCAGTGTCCTATATTTGTATAATCATTTTCAGTTAAAAAAAAAGTAAACGAAGAAAAGAGAAAAAAGACATCCCCACTCAGAGTTGCATATTTACATTCTTCAAACTGTAGCGGTGAAAAATAATTCTATTAAGTGCAGGACATTCCTAGTGTTGCAGTAGTGACATTTTTAACAAGTTCTTCATGAAAACATTTCTTTTTGTCTTAATAGTGACGCATTCCATGACTACGTGAAAATTCTATTATCCCCTTCACTTGCAGCCAGTGGTTGAGTCTGGATTGAAAAGCTCCTTGTATAATGGAGGAAACAGTGTGTTCACTATATCTGGATGAGATTGCTTAAATACCTGTAGTTTCTCTCCGTGCAAGTTGCAAAGTGCAGTAATGGTTGGTATCTTGGCTATTAACTGTGAGACATTAAAATAAAAGGAAAAGGAAGAGGGACGAGGAAAATTTAGTATAAATTGCAGTTTCCAAAATGAACCACGTTAACATCTTGATGGGTAAATGAACACAATACTCTGAACTCCATCAAAACTATCTACCCAAAGGACCAGACATTGTTCTTGCCATAAGAGGCTAAAACCAGTTGTCCTGAAATTTTAGCCGAGTGCCAAAAATGCATTTAACAGGAACTGCCTCCAGGAGTATTTTTTTAAGGCAGTCTCATTCTTACTAGGGTACCAACTAAAACGATTAGTGGATTGGACAAAAAATGCAGTAAAGTGAACCAAGGACAAGAGTAAAACAAGCCTTACTTCTTCTATACATTGCAAGCAGATAGTGTGCTGCTTTTAATTTTCATTAACAGAGCAATAGATGGAGAAATGGCTACAAAAAAAAAGGGTCACCATCAAGGAGTGTTTGGCTTTTCGTTTTAACAATTTACCTTTGTCAAAGTCTCATCGTCGAGGTGGTTCTTCTGGATCACATGTTGAAGTGCAAAGTAAATCTTTTCCTGAAGCTTCTGGACCTTCCTTGGCTCTATTAACCAGGCTCGATCTGAGAAAAAGGAAAGCAAGAGCTGAAGTCAAGAATGTACAGATGTGGGGCATGCTCATGGCGGAACACAGTGTCCCATGCCGGCAAGCATTCACAGCAATCATAATTCCCATGAGGAAGGACTGCATGATAATTCAGACATGGTTTCAGAGGCTAAGTATCTTAATCCATTAAAGAATCACTTGAGAGTTTAATTAACAGACAAAAAGTGTACAAAAACACAATGTTGGCTCTGCATCTTTTTGTTTAAACCAGGGTATTAGAGGTAAAGATGGGAGTAGAAATGAAACAAGGCCCAACCATTTTATTATTCTTTGTTGGTACAATCAGGGTTCTTCCAACTTCATACTGGCTAGGTGAAAAATTTGTCATGTTACCTCAGCGTCTTAATACATAAATAATAAACGTATTGATCAAAACAGTTCTTTGAAAATAACAGAATAGAACTATTTAAAAATTAAAATAAAATATATGTCATTATTTACTAGGGTAACATTTTGAGACCAAATATTATATTCTGAATAAAAAGAAATAGCTTCCTTCAAAAGAATTTCTTGAATAATTCAAAAGAATTATCAGTTGTTACAATGTCTTGAAGTGCAAATTTCTCATTATTTAAAAATCTTCTCTTTTTGAACAACAGAAAATAAAAGATTGTCTGGGAGGATAACATCTACAGACACAGTTTTTTGGAAACCTATATGGTTTCTACTGAACTCAAACCCCAAGTGTAAGAAGTCTTCCTTAAGACAAGTCGTAGCTTCTGGAGGCAAACACACAGAAAGAGAAGTAGCAGACCTCAAGACAACCCCAAAACCATTAATACGGTGTGTTTATAGCACCATTAAACCTTCTGTTTTCCCATGCTGCAAACTTGTTCCTTCCTTCCTTTCTCCCTGAATCCAGACCAATTTTGGGGTATAGATTTTAGCCGTCAAACATAAATAAGAAAATCTATTTTATCACAGAGTATGAATCTTCATTTACAAACTGAAAAGTGCAGGAAAATTCCTTTCACTTTCAGAGGTCTTTCACCCACTCCCAGCTGCTAAAATAACCCATAGAAATAATGTAAGTCGACCATTCCAATGAGCACACGTGCCACAGAGGCTGGAGCTGTAAAGTGTTTCATCACAGGAGGAGCAGGATTCTGTCATTTGTCTGACTGTCTGTGGAGAGGTGCGTATGGAATGTGTCCATCACAGCGTACTGTGAAAAGAGATGAAACCAAACCTCTAGCTACTTAACAAGTGATCGGGAAACAAAAATTATCTTTTCAGTAAAGCTTAGAAAATCATGCTCCCAGAAGGTAAGCCAATGGATCCTGTGCCACCAGTGGCCATAGAAACAGAATTAGCTGAGAATACACATAGCATCTACACAAATAAGCACACAGCAGTGCCTAGACTTCAGGGGTTAGGTGCCAAATTGTATGTTATTGCAAAAAACATGCCTTTCAATAGTGTTAAATCAAGGCCTATTGTAGTAGACAGGAGCTAAAAAGATTTATCATAGAGAGCAATCCTTAAAGATTTATCTTTCTGTCACAAGAATAAGCTTAAAAATAGACTAAAGCTGTTGGAGGACATGTTTCATCACTTATCTGTTGTGGAGCGTGCTGTATATAACACAAGAGTTCTTAAATTCATGACAAGAGCTAGGTGAAACTTTTACAATGGATATTAAGTTTGTCTTCCAAAACTTGGTTTTTACCACCTGAAAACCACCTGCAAATTTGACTGGAATTCCCCAGGTACCTCTAGTTATATTCACTAAAGTGCAGAAAAAAGTCAATAGATCAGTGACTACTCATGCATGATATAAGAAGCAGTGGTTCAATTCTGTACTTCTCTTTTTAGGTTTTCAACTTGCGTATCTTTAAAGAGTATCACTAGAATCATAGAATCACAGAATGGTTTAGGTTGGAAGGGACCTTAAAGATCATCAAGTTCCAACTCCCCTGCCATGGGCGGGGACACCTTCTGCTAAAGCAGGTTGCTCAAAGCCCCATCCAACATGGCCTTCAACACTTCCAGGGATGGGGCATCCACAACTTCTCTGGGCAACGTGTTCCAGTGCCTCACCACCCTCATAGTGAAGAATTTCTTCATTGTATCTAATCTAAACTCACCCTTTTTCAGTTTAAAGCCATTACCTGTTGTCCTATCACTACATGCCCTTGTAAAAAGTCCCTCCCCAGTTTTCATGTAGGTCCCCTTCAGGTACTGGAAGGCTCCTGTAAGGTCTCCCCAGAGCCTTCTTTTATCTAGATTGAACAATTAGAACTCTCTCAAGCTGTCCTCATAGAACTGTTCCATCCCTCTGATCATTTTGGTGGCCTCCTCTGGACCCGCTCCAACAGGTCCGTGTCTTCCCTCTGGAGCTGAGGGCTCCAGAGCTGGACACAGGACTCCAAGTGGGGTCTCACCAGAGCGGAGTAGACGGGCAGAATCCCGTCCCTTGACCTGCTAGCCACACTGCTTTGGATGCAGCCCAGGATATGGTTGGACTTTTTGGCTGCGAGCACTCATTGCCAGCTCATGTCCAGCTTTTCATGCGCCAGTAACCCCAAGTCCTTCTTGGCAGGGCTGCTCTCAATCCCTTCATCCCCCAGCCTGTACTGATACTGGGGGTTGCCCTGACCCAGGTGCAGGACCTGCACTTGGCCTTGTTGAACTTCATGAGGTCCACACCAGCCCATCTCTCAAGCCTGTCAAGGTCCTTTTGGATGCCATCGGTTCCCTCTAGTGTGTTGACCACGCTACACAGCTTCGTAGGAAAGAAGATGAGGGATAACTTACAAGATCTGCTTTTGCAAAAAAGAACATGGAAAAAAGGAACATAGCCAGTCAGAATTTCAGAATAGGAACTGGCACACAGTGGGCAGCCAGGTTATTGTCTTACCACCTGCCTCTGGCACGTTTGCAGGTGGACATGCCTCTACAACCTTTACTGGACTCTTTCTACAATGTTTTAACCTTTGAAATCACAAATCAATTTAAAGAATCACCACCAAGCACAGTGATTACATCCACCTTAAAATGAAAAAATCTATGTTTGTGCTCTGAATCAGATGGAAAATGGGTCTGGCACTGGGCTTTGTAACCTTGGGAATTGTATTAATGGATGTTCTTAGGTCCCCTTACTCCTAATGGGATGGCTTTGTTTCCTGTAAACCACCTTAACACTGAGATCAAGGGCACAAGAATTACCTTTCAGGATGGTGGTTTCTGTAGAAAAGAAGCTTGAATATGAGTACTTCCCATAGGGAATCACTGTGTACCTATGTTAGTGGGGAAGGACTACTGCAGGTACTTCTGACAAGCAGTGCAATTTTTAAATTTTTACGTATGTTCCGAAAATGAAACACTTTTCATATTGGGAGAAGAAGAAGAGGATGTTCCAGTTTATTCTGGAACATCCAGTGTGGAAGGAAATTATTTCTTTCTCTATTGCTTACTGTTACCATTTTTGTAATAAAACAAATAGCAAATTTCAATGTCAGTTCAATTTGTATTGATTTTCCCTCCTTCCCACTCCCAAACTTGGCAGCCCATCTGAAACGGGAATTATTTACACAATCCAGATGTTCACTCACATACATGCTGCTGCAGCCCACCATGTCTTTCTTATTGCATCTTCTATGACTAAAAACACACATGCTTACAGACTACAGAAATAAGCAGTCAGTGTGCATCAAGTGCTTTTTTTTAAAGTTTTGTTAAAGGAATAGGAGACACTGTATGTGTTCTCTTGCTTGCAAGTAGGGAAAACTCAACTTGGATCTGGAACGGGAAACTGTGGATTATTTCATCTCAGTAGCACTACCTTCAACCCTGAAGCTTGATTGTGGTGAATAAAACCTTGGAATTGCCTCTACTTATCTGTGCTACTTAGCAGAAACAGAAGCTGCTATTCAGGAGACACTTAGCTCTGAAAGGCAGTATCAGAACTGATGTATATCAAGACTGAAATGCTTTACTAGTGTTAAAGGAGAAGCTTTTACAACACATGTCTGCAATACAGCTGGCTCAAAGCCAGTGTTGAGTTATGAGCTTGTTCAAGTACTTAGTACAGCTGCAAGAAGTAGAAATGAGTGTGGATGCTTGGGCAACATGAACTGCTGGCAAAATGAAAGAGATTTTGGTGCCTTGCAGACTAAAGGGACATATGTAGAACTGCAGAGCTGAATCAGAATTTTGATGTCCATCTAATGCCTACCTGCAGCTAAACACATTTCATAAATTACCTGATCCAAAATCCATTAAAATCAATGGGAAAATTTCCATTACTGAAATAAGTTTTGCCCAGACCTAAGGCACAGGACACTCTGAAACACTAGAAACTTTCTGCAACCAGATTTTGTTGAGTACGGCTATAACTTGTTCTCCTTTCCAAGATTACCTAGGAGACAGAAACATGACTAGAAATTACATAACTGAGTTCTCTTTCTCCCTACAGATGAGATGCCCCCATCTGATCCAGTGTGCTTTGAAGTCAGCTGGACAGACAGAAACAATGAGATCATTCTGAAGCTATCTCCTATTTTTCCTGTCCTAACTGTAAGAAAAGAAGCTGAAAAGTGAAAAATCCTCCAGCTGTTACAAAAGAGAAATATTCTGTTAACATCTTACCAAAGAACTTCACAGCCCAACAAATTTCGAGGTTGTCTTCAGCTTTGCACTGAGTCAGTCTGCTGAACAGGCCGCTAATGCTAACCAGGAGCAAGCACGGGCTGCACATCACTGTCATGCTTACAGCTCTGGTCTTTTCAAACTGAGGGAGGAGTGATGGACAGGGACCCACCAGCACGCTGCCAGGCCCCTGTCCCAGAGGAAGCTTGGGCATGTGGGGGACAGCACACAGGCAGCTCTCATCCCTCTGCACAATTGGGACACCCCTGAGGTGGAAATGGTGGCTGTTTGGAGGCTTGTGTCTGGATCATCCTGGCCTAACACCATGAAAAGCCACTGGCTCAACCATTTCACCGCCCAGAAGATGACTGCAAGAACTGATCAAAGGGAAAATAAAAGGAGCAGAGTCCTTTCAGTAGGTGTCATTAATGACAAGAATGAACATGTTGACACCATCTGTGCTAGTCTAATTCTGCCTAACATAATCTCCACCACAGATGTGCAAAAGGGCGAAGTGACCTAGAGGAAGTCTTTAGCAGAACAGGCTGGAAAAATAATTCGTGGTGGTATTTTTTGTAAAGGCCTTTCAAGAGGTGGGAACTAGGAGTCTACCTTCCCTGAGACATATTTAAAAATTCCACACTAAATCGCAAACTTATCTACTAGATCCACATCCAGGGTCAATTCAACCACAAAAACCTCTTTTCTGTGGTCAGACAGCCAGCACTCTCTGAATACATACTTGCCTGTGCAGAGTTATGATATGTGAATGCATTAAAAAGAGCATGTTGTCCCTGGAATCACCACCTCCCACCTGGAGCTAAACTCAGACAGAACCTCATACAGATTTTTACTGCTCATGTTCTTATACCCACAGAAAAAGCCCACCATAGTTAGGGGCTATGTAGCCTGCTCAGGGCTCCCTGAAGATGCTAGGAGGAACATGCTTCTCCTTGAATACCATGCTTCTCTGTATGTGGTCTGGAGGAATGGCGGACTGCACTGCTTGTGCACGCACTCCTGCTGCATGTCTGTCACCCCCACACTTTGGATCTATGTGTAATTGCTGACAGGCAACAGTGAGGTATATTTGGGTAATTCAGGTATTCTTTCATTGCTTAATACATTGCTTAATATTGATTAACACAGCTTAAATAGCTATTTAAGTAGGTAGAAATAGAGGTGGAAAAGGATGAAAAAAAAAAAAGTTGTGGTGTTTGGAATGAAAAATTACCTGGTGATATCAGAACAGCAGATGAAAACAAGGCAATCTCCTCCTCAGTCAGCTGTAAGGAACATAAATTCTTTGCAAAGTCAAACGCTTCGTTCACCAGATCATCGGAACCTGCAGACGACAGAGGACAAAATCAATGCTAGAAATTTATCAGATCTTTAACCCGCCATGAAAAGTGAATTGTTTTGGTGTTAAAAAAAAATTGTGAGCGAATGTCTGTGCTTCTAAAACAAATGCCTTTCATAAGCTATTAAAATTCCACCTACACTGAAAATATATCACTAAACCAGTCATAAAGCACAAAAATTATCAAGAATTAGGGACATGACCTGTACAAAAATTGCACAGATATCTTAGAAGAGGGTTTTCTTTTCCCAATGTGGAAAGAAATGTTATTTTTAAACATATAATAAATTTAAGAGGTATGAATGACCAGTCGTAAACAGATTTCACACATATAAATTTGTTAATTAACAGTACAAGTATTTGTGAACATTTGTGAAAACGTCATAAAGACCAAAATAAATCGACTGTACATTCATAAATGCTTTAAACTTGTAAAGTAATGTGTTTACCCATATGCAAATAAGAAAAATATATACCTGTATGATAATCATACACACTTGAAGCAAATATGTTTGAGTTTTGTCCTGAATAAATTTCTGATAATATATCAGTCTCATGGATGGGCAAAAGACATATATTAACATTTCAGGTAGCACTCAATATCATGTTGAGAAATGGAGCAATTGTTTCAATACAAGAATCTAAATGAGCTTAAAATTTCTAGGCAAAATAGTATTTTAGGTAAATCCTTGGCTGTATTTTCTAGTAGTTCAACAGTTTAGTCCCCTTGTTGCTAGGGCTAAAATTGTCATCTGCAGGACAGAATTAGTGGGAGTGATTTGATATATCAAGCATAACTGAACTGTGAAGATAAACTGATTGGCTCTTGCCCTAAACTCATGTTTTATCAAAGCTTCAGATGACAGAGTAAGAAATCTATCTGAAAAACCCTCATGTTGGTTTTTTTTTTATTAGAGAAAAACACCTATCACTGCTAGCAGCTAGTGGAGTCACCTTTTTTCTTTTTCAGGTGCAGCCTAAAGATTTGGAAGTTTGGAGATTCAACATTTACTGGAGGTTTTCATTGTTGGACACAGTTTTCAGAAAAACAAATCTGTCACTATGTTGCTCAATGTAATTGGTTGAAAAGAGGATGACCAACATACCCAAGGCTTTAAACATTTGCATCCCTCCATACTTTCCTTCAAACAGAACAGTATTGTTGAGTGGGTTGAAGGCACGGCACATTCTCACCAAAACCACTTCCAGGCAGCCTATTAGACACAAAAAAGAGCTAAAGTACCACACATTACTGCAAAACATCAGAATATAGGAAATTTCAAGAAAATATTTAGGAAGACATCAGTCATTAGAAACATCAACAGGGATAGACACTCTTCGTGTTTACCTAGGCATCTAGATGATAAGTCTCTGAATGAGAGAAAGAATATTTCTGTCTGCTTTGAGCATAGAAAGGGGTAACTTCTGGTCCAGCCTAACCATCTTTTCTTTATGTTGATTTTTTTCCCCATTTCAGCAAACTGGCAGCCCGGACTTAATCTGAACCTGGGCAAACATTTTCAATTTGAAAAATTTCATGCTGAAAATTAGGCATATATTGAAACTCCTTTGTAATAATTAAACCTTTCTTATATAAAAAAGCAGCTTCATTCAACATGTACATAAATCCCAGCTTCATTTGGGTGGAGGGGGGAAACATCAGAAAGTGGTTTTAGGGAGAAAATAAAAGTTAAAATACTATCAAGAACACCCCTAAACTGAGTTTTACTTCCTTCCCACAGTTCTTCTTTCAGGCTGGGAAATAGCCAAAGGAATCTTATTTTTTTCTCCTTATATTTCCCTGTTATTTCCTAACTGCAAAAACACACGGTTTAGGAAAATGAAGGGAAAAAATTTAAGCATGCTTTAACTAAATCTAGATCTCCTGTAAGAGGAACTCTGAATCTGAGGATTCTTTTACACACATGCTTTTGAGTGAAAAGTTCTTATTTTCTAACTCCTGCTCAGCATTAACAGCAAAACAGAAAACGAAACCTGACATATTTGTACGTGCTGAAGCTAAGCAGAGTCGTCTGACAGTACAGTCAAGTACAACTATATCTTTTGCTGAAGGTGCAATAGTGTCGTTAGCTTTGCCAGCCAAATTAAAGAAGTTACCCGGGGTGCACTGGTACCTGCAGGATTTTCAAAATTAGTAAGAGCTTTAAAAAATTTTATTTTTCCAGGAGGTTGCCTGCGTGTTCCCAAGGTCTCTGTATCCCTTCCCTTCGCACCTGTGACCACCACCTCAGCCCAGCCCCACACTGAGCCACAGCTCTCTGTGCAGAGTGGTGCATCACACCGGCTTTCAGCCTTAATGAAGAGCTCTCTCTTGAAATAGGAAGCACTTCTTATGCTTTAACGAGCCACCTCACACAGCATCCTGCCTCTTACACACGGAGGGAGCAAGACACTGGTGTGACAGGGTAAATGCAGTTAATTACCAGTTGTGGTTCACTTGGTCATACCATTTTGTCCTCCTGAGTTTGGCGGTGTTACTACATAGTCAC